ACTGTGGGGGCAATGCAGGGGCAATATGCCAATGTGACAGGGTCAGGGGTCAGTAGGTACGTCAGTAGTGACACCAAAAGATGGAACGTTTTGAAGACAAGCAAATGATTGTCTCTGCACAGTGACAAATATGCCTGTGACAATAGCTGACAACAGATTAGTACAGTACCATTATAGAAGTACACGCTGAACCCTGAAAAAATAAATGGGAACAAGTCAGAGATGGTTTGATTCGCAATTGCAAATCCGGAAGTTTTACATGGTATGAGTTCTCTGGTGTGCCCTCTCCTGGAATCGTGCAGTAACATCTGGTATCTGGTTGTGTACACCTTACATGACTACCATGGCAGTAGCTCAGTCCATAGGGACTTGGATTGGGAACCAGAGGGTCGCCGAATCCCCCTGACCAAATTTGGAGCGTGGACTGGCGGCTAGTTCACCTCCTGGGCACTGCAGGTGTCCTTGAGCAAGGCACCAAACCCCCAACCGCTCGGAGCACCTGACCAAGGCAGCCCCCTCACTCTGACATCTCTCCACTTTGTGCATGTATAGGTCTTGTTTGTGTGGACTTGTGTGTTAATGAAAAAAAGAGTGAAAAAATTGAATTCCTCAGGGGGATTAATACAGTATATAAAATTAAAAAAGGAATATTTTTAGCTTTGACTTAAAAGTGGTCAGAGTTGGGGCTTGTCCATAATCATCTGGTGAAAGTGATATGAATATTTGCGTGTCATCTCCATAGTTATGGTAGGCTACGTTATTTTTTTTGTATGATTTGGTCTAATGGTATATGTAGGTTAAACAAGAGGGGTTCCAAAATGGATCCCTGTGGGACCCCACATGTCACAACCATCTGCTCTGACTTATAATTACCAATCAAGACAAAATACTTCCTGTCATGAAGATATGAGTTTAACAATTTAAGGACAGTTCCAGAGAGTCTGACACAGTTTTCGAATATTTATAAGAAAATGGTCCACTGTGTCAAAATCAGCACTTAAATCCAACAGCACTAAAACAGAGACTTTGCCTGAGTCGGTGTTCAGGCGAATGTCATTCATTACTTAAATGTGTGCAGTTTCAGTGCTGAAACTCTGCTGAAAATCTGACTGAAAGTTATCAAAGCAATTGTTCAGCTTCAAAAAGTTGCTGAGTTGCTGGTAGGCAACTTTTTCAATAACTTTACTTAAAAACGGTAAGTTTGAAGTAGGCCAGTAGTTGTTCAGTGTGGTGGCATCAAGACTGCATCAGACTAGTCGGTGTAATGTTGCCTTGGTCACCATCTTAGTTTAGTGTTTTAGCATGCTAGCATTTGCTAATCAGCACTCAACTCAACGTACAGCTGAGGCTGATTAGAATGTCGTTAGCTTTGCATATATTTAGTCATAAATGACCTATGGTGACCAGTAGTCACAGATGTAAACTACATGTCCTGCGTCTCGGCAAATGTCCATAAAACACTAAAACGTCCTCGTTTTAACATTGCCTACCAAACTGTGAAAGATTTTACTGCAATTAAAATAAAATTTGTGTTTTCAACACTTACAGTGACATTTGTCATGTTCTGTCCCGCTTACCCAATATAAAAATACATCAAATGTTTGAATTCAACACTAATTTGTCTGTATGCGTGTTAGCCAGTGACTCATAGGCTAATAGGCTCTTTCTGACAGAGCTTGTCACTATGCTAATGGTTCGCTGTCATGCCAAATAGGAAGTCAGTCTTCTCTAAAAGGCTCCAGTAGGCTGACTCCTTCCTTCCTAATGTACCAGGCAATGAAAATGCTGCATTCATTACATCCATGGTGTTGAAAGGTGCGGTAAGCACTGAAATAATTGTCCCCATTCCTGATGAAAATGTGTATGGTGTGTGCATAAGTGCTTACATGTGTGCATGCATGAACATGCGGTACACTCACGGGTCCCATTTTGAGGATTTGAAGATATGGTCACTCTGTTATGACCTCATGATGTTGCTACATGTCATCACATACACAGTTTTACTGCAGTCCACCCAAAAGTTTTGTCCTCAAACTACATGAAAAGTCAATATATGATTAAAGTTATTTAGAGTTACCCTCCGCAAACCATATGTAATCCATTCAGTAGATGTTGAAATATTTCACAGGGTAAGTGACACCTCTAAAATTCTAATCGGACCTGCTGTTGAGGTTAGATAAAAAGTCATGTTGGATTGGACTGTCAATTGGATTCATCCTCCCGGGACCATAAATGCGGGCAGCAAATTTCACGGCAATCAATCCAACAGTTGGACCAGCATTGTCATCCTTATGCCACTAGCATGTCCAACAATGGAGTCTGGGTGGCATTCCCTAACTAATAAGATACATAAGAGTGACAGAGTTGCTTAATCCCTCAGAGTTTCATTCTTGACAGTCAGTAGAAGACATCTAGCAGAAAATATGCACTTGGTAACGTAGCATTCAAATCTCCGTTTGCCACAATCAGACCCACTGCCAACTGGCCAAGCATGGAAACTTAACACTGTATGATAGTCTAGTTTTTATTCCTGACAGCCAGAACAAGTTGGAATTGGCCTCTCTCTGCAGACTGACAGGTTAGGACTGCAGATGTTTTCTCCACATACACACAGACAGATGAGTCCTTTGTTCGAACAGAAGAGCCGTGACCTTTCCACTGAAAAATGTGACGGATGTGACGAATTGAATCAAAAGCTTATTTTAAAGTTGATAAGTGTATAAAAGCAACAAAGTTACAGGGCAAGATGGACCAGATTTTATGATACTCATGGCAACAGCATGACTCACATGGTGTCTCATTTGGTGTTTTTTGCTTGTTAATATCCTTTTATTGAAATGCACCTATTAGCTTTATCCATGTCAGACTCCGGAGGCCTGGAAGAGAAGTCTCTCTCTTTTAGCTTCATGTCGCCAGTCTAGCCAAGGCCATTATCTCGTCCCAAATGTCAATATTGCCGTTTTTATGAATCTGATTAGTCCATAAAACGCCAGAGGGTTTTGAGATCCCAGTGGACTTCCGTGAACCTGTGGTAACATCATTGTCTGGTCCTTCCTGGCAGAGATCTGACATCACTTTAGCCAGATGGCAGGTGAAAGGGCTTCTGGGAATTAGTGTTTCTCTCCCTGTGAGGCTTGTTTTCTATTTCCTGACAGCACATGCTAAAGTGAGACGACAGCGAGTGCACACGATTGTGCTGTGAGTTGATAATTTCCATAATGTACCTGGTCCGCGACAATGCAAAAATACACCAAACCAGCTTAGAGGCTTTATAGATGACTGCATATCATGCAACATTGCATCAGGCCTCCATCAAAATCTCATTCCGCAGATAATGCTGAGAAAATGGGATTTTGGACAGCTAAAAATAAACAAGGCAGTCTATGGGTAGGATGTGGGAATTGGGTTAATTCGGCATTGAAAAATGGTGATTGTTTGAAATGTGATTACTGTTATTAAAATACACAGACATGGGAGAGAGAGTTAGGCTAGGGGGGATTCTAGCTCCGTTCCAAACCTGCCAATCATCTGTGAGGAGCAGCGCCGGGGGGGTCAGGGGTCACTTATGACCTGAGGTAATAGGGAAGTCTCGCACCAGTGGGAGGTAGCGTGCTTGTATGCATGTGTGTGGATGTGTGTGTTACCCTACAGCAGGGATACAACATCTGGAACCAGTGAGCAGTCTGGTGGCTGCTGCCAGGGTCACCGCAGTGGGAGGTCAACTCCCCCCTCTGCCTGTCCTCAGCCCCTCTCCTCTCTACTCCCCGCTGCCCACCTCCCTGCTCCTACAATGCCAGCTCTCCTAGCTCACATGCAACACCATGACTGAGTCTTGTTAGCTGCGGACAGACAGGCGTTCACATGGAACCTTTCTCCGAGACAGGAAAGGCCCTGTGAAAGGCTCTGTTGTGTGGAAGTGGTCCCGGGGAGAGGAACGGCATGTTGGGAGAGGAATGGGCTGGAAGTGGGAAGAGGAGGTCTGACTGTCTCCCTCCCACCTCCTCTTGTTAGAGGGCCTGAGGGATAAGATCAGTGCACTCACCTCAGCCCTCTAATGGTTCATGGAAAGCCACATATTTGAATAATACTGCTTGGCTTCTTTTACTACAGTGAAAGACATTTGTCTCCATCCTCCGTCCCTGTTACTTAAGAGAAGAAAGTCACTTTAGAAGTTTGAAGGGCAGAGGCCTCCTCCTTGGGTCTGAGCTGATCAATATCTGAGATTAAACTTAAAAGTTGGAATGCTGCTGTAAGCCTCTCTGAATCTCAGGTGGAATATTACATTTGGTCTTTTTACATTTTTTTTAAACCGTTTCATTACCCTGAGTTGCCTCCTTACTGTATATTTTGTACACACTTGCTGTTCAATACCTCAGATACCATCCAGTATCTCCCTTTTTCTCCTATGAGCTTCATTTAGTCTTCACAGAAAGTGCATGCAAATCATAAACTAGCATATCTCCCAGGCGAAGTTTATGAAAACTTTTACAGTCTTGTAAAAACAACATGAGAACTGAATGTGTTTCCATCAGCAGAGCTGGAACAAATATAATATATAGGCTTCCTGAGCGTTAAAATAAACAGACTGAGTCCTTGGAAAACATAGAAAGAATCTTTTAAGAAGCGATTAATATTGGGCAAATTGGGCAATTTGATATGGTTCTTTTGCACTAGCAAAGTTGGCCGAATACATAGTTTCCACACAAAGTCAAAGAAAAGGCATTGGCAATATTTTACAGACATTTTAAACCATCCAAAACCACTTCTCCTGCTTAAGAACGATACCATTTCTTAGGCTGATAACGTGAAACTTAGTCATTTATGACTCTTTAAATATATTTCTGTCACAATTCGAGGGTGTAAAATCTTTTTTTCTCAGTGAGGAAATTATATTGAATTTTGGCATTTCTGAGCACAGTGTCTGGTTTGCCAGATGATTCACGAATGGAAAGAAAAACCTACTTATATCAAACTTTCCCCCGTCAATGTGTTTCTCACAGAATACAGGCCAAGATGCGGGAGCTTCGGGAGAGGCAGGCAAAGGAAAGGGAATATGCTGAGATCCAAGACGTTGTCGGCGGCACCTTCAGCTCAGATGAGGAGCACACCTACGCTGGAATCGGGTCATTAGACTCATCGGTGGATAGCAGCAGCACAGACCCTTACAGCCACCACTACCATCTCCCCCAGAGTCCCCAGAGTCCTCATCCTCCCTTGAACCTACAGAACAACGGTCCACCCCTGGAGGCTCTGTATGCCCAGGTCAACAAGCCACGCAATGGACGCCCTGCAGCTTCAGACAGGTAGGGGTCACCAGAAAAGTAGTCCATACACAGATTCTGCAAAGTGGCTCAACATACACAACCACAATACTCAAGGCTCAGCAGTGTGCTTTGTAACTCCCTACCTTTCTCGTTCATTCAAACGATACTAACTAGCTTTGTGCCTTGCGCTTATGCTTTGCAACAATCCAGTTCATTTACACCTCATCTATAATGTATAAGCAGTGTTGTGATTGTATTTACTTTGACTTGTCATGGGTGACACATGCTGCACAGAAAAACAATGAATTTCACACCGTTTTTTTTATCACTGCCTCATCCCACAAGGCATTGCCCCGTGCAAGCAGGCTCAATCCACAGGCAAGGTAAAACAACAACAGGAGCCTATCAGTAATTCTCCATGTGCTAGAATTTAATATCAGGCAGCCTTTTTTTTCATCATCCTTGGATCACAGGTAATCCTCCCCAGCCTCTCGCGCACCTCTTTCAGTGAGTCACACTGATTGTGACTTCGGCTTGTTTGTCGCTGGGGGTTGTATCGCTCATAACCTGCGTGTCAACACAAATATCTGATGTGACGACAACGCCATGCAGAGCTTTAGTTTCACATTACTGTGTTGATAGCCTAATGCCCAAAGTCCTGTTTCAAGTATACATACACACACACACAAATAGAAGAAAATGTGAATATTTTGTGATTTCTTTTGTCCTGTATGACAATTCATTGAATATCTTTGGGTTGTGGACATCACCTTGGGCTTTTGGAAACAATGATTGACATTTTGCTCCATTTTCTGAGCATTTTATAGACCCTTTTTGTGTTTGTAAACAGTGATGATGTATTTTGTGCGAGGAGCTGGTGACAGAAAGGGACAATAGTGGTGTTAGGGTGAAACGTAAAAAGCACTGTAATGTTTATATTTCTCAACCGATTGCAATGAAACGTTTTTATATCCATGAGTTTATGATCTACTTGTAGTGGGAAAAAAAGTTGTCAAGTTAATCTGAATCTTGTTATTTAGGCTAATCACTGCTGCTCAATGCTCAGTAGACGAGTGTGTGTTCGGCTTATTTGAATTACTTACTTATTTACATGACGGAAGATAAATCATCACAAGAACTGTGAAAACTCACATTTTTCAAGCATGGATTTGGCATATTGTCCTATATTTGCGGTGATGTCTATGTGTAATATAATTTAATGTGGAAGTACAACTTATCAATATGCTAGCACACTAGGTAGCTAGCTAGCTAACTAACGCTCTGCTTAATAACACCTTGATCATAACACAGCTCACTTTAGAAAGGCCACAACAAGAAATCACGTTCTTTCTTTATGTTAACTTATAGACTATAATGTGTATTTAGACCGATTCATCTGTATCCAAGCAGGGACAATCAAAGGCTTGCTAACATGTTTGCTAACGTGGCTAGCGTTCTACCTACGACTGATCGATGACAGCTTGAAACAAATCATGATCCATCGTCCGTTTATTAATCTAAACAAAGAACATGTTTTCTTGTGGCGTCCTTTCTAAAATGAGTAGTGGTGAAAGTCTGTATATTCTGTTATGATCAAGGAGTTAATGAGCACACAGCGTTAGCTAGCTAGTGAAAAAGTTGTCTGATGTTACTTCCACATTTAATTAAATTATATGGGGATGTTTCCACAAGTTTTAACCAAGGACAATAAGACAAATCCATGCTTATGATGATGAATTATCTTTTACCACATCAGTAATTCAGTTCATGTAAGCCAAACACACTCCTCTACAGGGTATCCAGCAGCAATTATAGCTGAATATCGAGATCATAATTAACTGGAGACTAAACTGTATTTTCCACTAAGGCCTCCTCTGTGGCGGTTTTCTATGAAAATGAAGGTTATCTTATTCTGTATTCCTGTTCTGACATCCAACGGCACAAGAGGACATTTTAATTCTGGGTATGTCAACTGCTTCTCTCCGATGTCTGCTGTTTTTCTGCCACCCATACGCATTCGAACTGCTGTGAGGTAACTGTGACGTCCACTCAAAATTGGTCTATGGACCAAACAACTAAACGATTGGACAGTGTCAATCTGGATGTCCCAAAGCCCAAGATGTCTTTTAATGTCTTGTCCACAACTCACAGTTATTCAGTTTACTGTGAGTACTCGCGAATACTATTTACTTTTGTACGTATACCTTTAGCTTTTATATGTTTGTTCCTCTGCTGGGTCGGAGGTGTAATGAGGGCTACAGGTTTCCAGCAGGTCACATCCAGTGGTGACAAGTCAAGAGATTTCTATCCCCATGGTCTCGCACAACCTTTCAGGGTGTGTTATTAATGGATCGGATAATACCCACCTCCTGTGATTGACAGCTGTCACTTGGGGGCTTGTGACCTTTCACTGCTGGGGCTCCGGTGCGGTTAGGTGGGGTGCATGTGATACTGTGTGTGAACTCGACAGAGTGCCTCTGTATGAGTGTTTATTAAGAGGATTTACGGAGGTAGAATCTCCATCCTGTAACACCCCCCATGACAGTCAGGGTAGATATGACAAGGTTATCTGGCCCCTCTGATAGCTGGCTAAATCCGTGTGCCAATACATCCGGGGCTCAGTGAAGGCCACTGATCCGTGTGTCTAAAGTGAAGGTTACCTCCACGTGTTTCCTGAGGATAGCCTTGTTGTGTCATAACAACTATCTACTGTAAACTATCTCACTTCCCATGCAGAATTTAGTGATAAGCGTGAAAGCTAGTTGAGAAAAGAAGGCGAGACAATGCTTGACTGGTGCTCAGTGAGCCTGTGTGTGGAGATCACACGAGTCTAAGATGTTGGTCAGTGATAGACATGATGCTATTGATTCTCAGTGGGAATATCAATAAGCTCTGTGCAGGGATACAGAATAAAAGCCTTAACATAAGACAACCCTGTGAGTCTCTTTTTCTCCTTCATTGCCAGAGGGAATATTAATAGCAATCTGCTTAGTAGCTCTCAAAGAGAAATAATGAGAAAAAGCCAAACAAAGTGCCTTCTGCACGAGGGGTCTGATTGTTAACAGATGCTTTATTACTTAGATATGACTTTTAAAAACATTTTTTTTTTTCCAAATAGTTTTAGTTGAGTTCATTCGTATTTAGCGAAATTCCATCTGAGCATCTGGAGGCTGTTCCATGTTGTATCTCTGGAGCTCTCTTGTTAGAGAGAAGACGTGTTACTGTCTATTAGGTCGTGTCTGAAATTCATCAGTGTCACAAACAAACATAAAAAAGAACTTATCTTCTCCCTCCTGCTCTCTTGTTTTAGCAGTTTCTTGGAAATAGTGAATTCTCACCTCCACAGGTTTATTTCAGCACAGAAAGCTTAGTGTTGCATGTTAATTATAAACACAAGCTTATATTTAGTTTGGGGTCTGAGCTTTAAGTATTGATAGCGCAGTATGGAGTTTTATTCGCAGGGACAGGATTAGCTGTCGCAAGTGTTGTGATTATATTTGAAATATTCGCCGCATGTTCAACACTGCATTTTTGTTTTGCACCTCTCGCTGCTTTGCATATCTTGTGTATGCCAGCCCGGCTGTATTCCTGTAATATTTGTCTTGCTGCCTTTGAGATATAATAATATGCACTGGTTCTTATTTAGCTCAGAGGCTTTCTATTTGCGATTTGCAAAAAGGAGCTTGAAACACATTCTGATTCAAGACTCCTGTCACTTGCCTATCATAACAAACATAAACAGTAATTTGCATTTCTAAATTAAACTTAATGGAACTTTCATTGTCAAATATAAGGCGCCAACACAACAGAATTTGCAATTATGTCTGACTGTCCCATGTATCAAGACAGCAAAATTGGATAGAGAACTTTTGTTTTGCCGTTTAGAGATCCAGTATGACTTACAATTTCTTCTCTTTCTAATCCTGCCACAGCTGCTTAACCCAATGTTTTGGAGCTGCAGAACTTCCTGTTGAAGGTCAGGAAACAGGAAGTAGATGAGGTTTGTTTGGGGAAGGCTGCTCATTCCTGGCTGTCAGTCAGTCTTCAGTATGAAAGGGAAGAATGAGTTGTGTTTAACCCTGACCTGGATACTGTTACGGCCTACTGAGGTGGCCCTGGAGAAACACACTCAGATCAAAGGGGCAGATTAAGGATCCTATCTCCAAGGGGTACTTAGCCTCATTTCCAACATGCAGTCTGCTTCAGTTCAGTTTATTTCACATTAGAACAGTTATTTTTGACTGTCCATTGTCAAAAGACGTGGATGGTAATAGAACCATTCTATTCTGTCCTATTTTTCATCACACCTCTGTTGACATACCTAGCACACTGATCCACTACTAAAAGGTGGAGCTAGACACACTGCGGTCTGTTGATTGGTCACGAGAGAGTCGTCATTCTTGTTCTACAAAGACTTATTGCACAAACCTGCTATTGTTTTAATATTCCATCAATCCAGCCTCTTCTTTTTATGCCTCCATGCCGGCGTTAGCTGTGGTCGGAGGCATTATGTTTTCAAGTTGTCCCTCTGTATGTACGTACGTCCGTACATCCCATCCTTGTGAACACAATATCTCAAGAATGCCTCAAGGGAATTTCATCAAATTTGGCACAAATGTCCACATGGACTTAACAATAAACCGATTGGATTTTGGTAGTCAAAGGTCAAGGTCAGTGTGACCTTGCATCTGTCTCATTCTCGTGAACACAGTATCTTAAGAACAAATTAAGGGAATTTCCTTAACTTTGACACAAACATCCACTTGGACTGACGAATAAACTGATAAGAATTTTGTGGTCAAAGGTCAAGGTCTGTGTAATTCATATGCTGATTATGACAAAACTTCACACAAATGTCTGATGGGATAAAATAATGAAGTGATGACATTTTATATACAAAAGGTCAAAGGTCAACTTTACTGTGACATCGTTATGTTCTGCATAAAACACTTTTCTGGCCATTATTCAGCGTCATATCTCAGGAACAGAAGGGGAGACATTAGGTCAGATACTGAATTGGTGACACTAATCTTAAGTGT